ATTTCAACAAACTTGGAAGCCCTTCATCACAGCATGCTACAGGCCCAATATCAGTACCCTGGGCCTTTTGGTTATTGAGAAGAGAAGTTGTTTGAAGATTTTAAGACATTTGACCCCTGTTACCTTCAAAGTTGGTCAAGGTCATTCATTTGAACAAACTTGGAAGCCCTTCATCACAGCATGCTACTGGCCAAATAGCATCATCCTAGGGTTTTCGGTTATCGAGAAGAAGTTGTTTAAAGGTTTTTAACATATTTGACCCCTATGACCTTGAATATATATAAAAGTAATTCATTTGAACAAACTTGGTAGCCCTTCATCCTAGCATGTTACTGGCCAAATATCATTATCCTAGGCCTCTTAGTTATTGAGAAGAAGTTGTTTAAAGATTTTTTAAGACAATTGACCCCTTTGACCTTGAAAATAGATGAAGGTCATTCATTTGAACAAACTTGTTAGCCCTTTATCCCAGCATGCTACTGGCAAAATATCATCATCCTGCGACTTTTGGTTATTAAGAAGAAGTTGTTTAAAGTTTTTAACATATTTGACCCCTGTGACCTTGAAAACAGGTGAATGTCATTTATTTTAATAAACTTGGTAGCCCTTCATCCCAGTTTGCTTCTGGCCAAATATCATCATCATAGGCCTTTTGGTTATTGAGAAGAAGTTGTTTGAAGTCAAATATTGACGCCGGATGACGGACGACGGACGCCGCACCATGGCACCCTTTGGGCAAGGTGAGCTAATAATAACCATTGATTGTGACATCATAATCCTAGATATCACACTTATAATGTTGTAATAATAACTGTTGATTGTGACATCATAATTCTTGATATCACAATTATAATGTTGTAATAATAACCATTGATTGTGACATCATAATTATTGATATCACAATTATAATGTTGTAATAATAACCACTCCAGAGTAATTAGTGGTCACAGCTAGCTTTGGTAGGTTTTGATATTTTTTGATAAATCCTTTTCATCATATATAATGTTTATTCTATTTCCAGACAATATGTGCCAGACTAACAGAAGAGAATGTAAGGTTGAAGGAAGAGAATGACACCCTGAAACAACAACTTCATTCAGATGATATTAATTTCACAGAAAAAGTCCTTGCTTCTGATCAGTCAACAAGATAGACATGTAAAACCATTTAAGTCCTCTTTACCAGACTTTCAAATAAATAAATAAAATTCATCTGTCAACTTCATCTAACCGGTATGCATGTACATTGATATTTATGATTTGATCGAACAAGAACGTTGCTTTGTCATTGCATAGACGTCTCTGTGAAGAAGAACTTCGGAACCTCGTCCTGACGCCCAATGGCAAAGAGTTCTACAGGTTATACGAGTTACTTCCCTTGTATTGCCTGGAGTTTAAAGGCTTCCATAATTGCATGTAGATTACCTGGTAGTGTATTACAATACCTAGCATTTGTACAATGAACTTAAAATTTTACATATAATTAGGTAATGGTAGATGCCGATAGCTACAATGAACCCTGAAAATAAATGTACCTGTACAAAATTTGTTGTGTTATTAATTTAAGTAACGGTAATAAGACTTCTATATAAGATATGATACGATATATTATATGATATTAAATGTATAAAAGTATTTATTATAATATATTTCTAGAAATTCTGTTTTTAGCAGTATTGTTGTTCCCCTCTGTTGTCACAAACTATGTATGTGTCTTTGTCAAATGTAGTCTCTGTTGTCTGTTTTTATTTTATTAGTATATCAAAGGTGTATATATTTTCCACAACTAATAAGAAGAGATGTATCAGCACCCACAATTTTGTTCATGGTTGACTAGTTTTTACGTTTAACACAATAATCATTACAGTACCTTTAGGAAGTTATCTTATAATAAAGTTGTGGGGGCTTTAATTTTATGTGGAAAATATTCTACAAAAAGTATTGTTGGAAGCATTTTTTTTTTACATATGGAGGGCGACATTTTCTGCGTATTGATATTTATACAATGTGATACTTATTGCTGTTACCTTTCGGTCAGACGATTTACAGGAACGGGAAGAAACGGGCAGAATTATATTAATTATTATATATATTAATTTATATTAGATATATTTAATTATCATTATCGGGTATAAGATATATATATTTGGCAAAAGGATTGCAATTACATGATCGGTGCAGAATCAAACTAAATTATATACATATATTTAATTTAGTCCCATTCTGCTTGATATGTAATTGCATTTTTTTTTATCAAATATACCTTATACCCGATAAGGATTATCAAATATATACAATAAATATATTTAAATAAGTCTGATCCTGCTTCGTTTCTGTCTGTTCCTGTAAATTGTCACCCGTTTCTGTCCGTTCCTGTAAATCGTCGCCCGTTCCATGTGGGGGGAAATTGAGGAAAATGGTGAATATACATGATTTTTAAAGAAAATTTCAGACTGGGGGAGTTTCCTGAAGCCCCAAAAGCCCCTCTGGATCCGCTATTGAGATCCATATCAACACAATTAATAATCTTCATTTGTTGCAATTCTTTTATTAAATATATCTTTTACCCGATAAAAAATATATGATACTAACAGAGGTCTCACAAGTAATAACGACATAAATGTATATATGCAATACTTTTATCAAATATATCTTATATCCGATAATGATAATTAAATATATCTAATATATATATTTATTAATATATATAATAATCGATATATTTCTGCCCGTTCCTGTAAATCGTCGAACCCGTTACCTTTGGCTTCCAAAACTACAACCCTAAGGCTGGGGTCTTTTCGGTGTATCTGATAAGCCGCAGTCAGTCCAGAAAGGCCACCTCCCACCACCACAACGTCCACATCCTGACCACTCGGACTGTGGTCAGTCATATCAGGAATATTTGGCGATCAACAAAATGGCCTGGCAGTTCATATTAGGATTTTGCGCTGTTGTTTCAAGTGTGTATCTCTGGTGTTATCGTCTGAAAACAAAAGATAAATCAAGGAGAAAAAGCTTACCGCAGATGACACTGTATACCTTTCCAAATTACAGATCCATGCGATGCATTTGGCTAGCTACAGGTAAGTAATCCGGTATGGGGCGAAAAAAGTAGACACATTTGAGTTCCGAGTGTCCCGGACGGCAAATCAAACGTTTTATGTGTACCAAGTAACGTTGAAAATGGAGTCGGGTCCGTTTAGCATACTTTTCAAAAAAATTGTTACATTATTAAAATTGTCATCGGGTTCAGAAATGAATTAATAGTCGGTTTGGGTTTTTTTGTTCAGATTTGGTCACAAACCATTTTTTCGGAATTCGACCTACATTATGAAAAGTTGTCATCGTCTTTTCAGAAATAAATTCTATACACTGCTTGTTTGACAAAAAAATAAATTCACTGTGACATATTTTTCATATTTTCCTTCATATTTATACATAGTTAAAATGATCCAAATCCATTTTGAAAGTAAATTATTTACCAGACCATTACGACAACTTTTTCATTCAATTGTAAAACTATGGCATCGGGTCCACATCCAACGCTTGAAATTAACCTTAGAACATGATGACACCTTGCCATATTCAATTGTCAAAAAAATACATAAATGCATATTGAAAAATATCAAAATGGCCCGGATCCTTATTCCACGTTGAAAAATGGGTCCCAGAACATTTTGACACCTTTTCCATATTTCATAATCAAAAATGTCCTTTGATCATATTCATCGTTGAAAATGGACATTAGAACATTATATTACCTTTCTATGATTTATTGTGATAAGGTCTGATGGATTAATATTCAACGTTGAATGTTGTATATGGAGCTGGGGATTGGTGTTTGCTTGTTTGAGTGAGTGGTTTTACATCCAATTCACTACCTAATCAATCACTTTTTGTTGTTTTAGGCAACTCTACAGTTGTTAAGTATTATTCAACCAATTTCCATTTATGTAATGATAAACCATTCTTATGTTTACATACAAACAAAAGACGAAGGGTAAATTAGTTCCCCAACAGACAATTCAAAATGAAAAATATGTGAACTATACTTTGACATTCCAAACAAGATTCTGATTAAAACGCGTGATGATCTGTACATGCTAAGAGGAACCGATTGTGTTTAGTCGCTCGCTCATACTCCGCCCCACCTGACTATATCATATTTGTGCTTTGCTTTACCTTGAGTTCATTTGCATGCGATTGAGTCTTTAACGCACTTCACCAGCGGACACCGTCACCTCAAATCATCAGATTGTACCTTGCCGAAACGTAAATTTTGCAAATTTTTAATTTTTAAAACCCTATTGGAGCACAAACTAAAAGATCTTCATCAAAACATGTGGAGATGTCGCCAGGTTTGGGTCCCTAAAGGTCGACCGCGTGACACGGACTTAGTCATATTTAGAAACTACAAAGATGTGGAACGCTTATTTAGGAACAGACAGACAGGTATCAGAGGATCCCATTATAGACTTAAGCAAAGAAATTGAAAGCTGTATTGATGTTAATCAAAAGACGTTGTACTAACACTTCGGGGTTTGCTGGAGCTGAAATGAAATTTAATTATGAAGTTATCAGAGATCCTGCCCGCCTAGCCCTCCACTGGGGAAAGTATTTTGCAGATATTTATTCCGAAACCTCTAGTGAAGATTTTGATGCACAATTTAAAGCAATGATGAATCTGTTACAGGTATTCTGGGTAATCATGACTCGGAAAACGATTGCTTTGATATTTTTTTTCTTTCAATGAGGTCAAGTGCATCTGCAAAAAACTCCCTGTTGGCAAAGCAGCTGGGTATGACCCTATTGTTTATGAGCACTTGATATATGCTAACGACACCTTACACAACTGTGTATTGTTTACAGCTTCCAGCTTCCACAGGTTAGGGTATGTCCCACCTCTGCTTACAAAAGGTCTGACTTGTACACTGTATAAAGGTCACAACAAACCTAAGGGTGATCCCAATAGTTATCGTGCCATTTCCTTACTTTCTATTATTTTAAAAGTTTTTGAAAAGTTACTACTTGTGCGACTGGATTCAACAAATCTCTTTAAGATTAATCCGTTACAAAACGGTTTTCAAAAGAACGTCAGTAGTACGATGACTTCTTACTTAGTCCACGAGTCTGTTTCGTATGCTTGTGACAATAACAGTAAATTGTTTGCCTGCTTCCTGGATGCTTCCAAAGCCTTTGACTGCGTATGGTATAATGGCCTATTTTTTAAACTCGACAGCATCGGCTTTAAATCAAAGTATATTCATATTATTGCTTCTTTATATGAAAATATGTTTAGTGCTGTTTTGCACCAAGGCTTCGTTTCTGATTGGTTCAAAGTCTGTCAACGTACGCGTAAGGGAAGCATTATCTCCCCTTGGTTATATACACTATTTATTAATGATTTGTTAAATGATTTGTACGCTGCAAAGTACTTAGTATTCATTTCTTATTCAAGACGTTAATGCAACTTGTCCAACTCAAGCTGACGATATTACGTTGTTATCTCTTTGTAACCGTGGTTTGGACAATCTCATGGATATCTGCTGCACTTACAACTGCAAATGGATATTCAAATACAACGCGTCTAAGTCTGTAGTGATTGTCTTTAATGAAGGTAAAAATGCTTCGTCAAAGACGATTCGGAGCTGGTCTCTCGGCAATGAGGTTGCATCAGAGGCTGTTGGGACAAAACACGTCGGCATCTTCTTAAACAAATTAAAACCCGGCTGTCCAGACATCAATGAGATTGTTAACAAACTACATAGTCAATGTTTTGCCCTACTCCATTGTAACCTTTTCGGTACTGGGATCAATCCAATGACAGGAGCGAAGTTATATAAGTCTATTGTATTGCCTAGAAGCCTCCCTCGTTGGCTGTGAACTTTGGTTTTTTCGAACAGAAACTGATTTGTCTCGTATTGAAAATGTACATCACTTATGTGCAAAGCTCATTCAAAGTTTTCCCCGTCGCATACGATCAGATATCGCTCTTAGTATGTTAGGCCTTACCTCAATACACCTCGAGGTTGAATTAGCCAAACTTCGCTTTTTTGCTGCTTTATGTAGACTAGATGCACGATTTACTGTAAAGAGAATTTTTATGTTTCGTCTTTTTCACACATATTTTGGATTTTTTCAAGGTGGAAAAGGTTTTGTTTCAGATGTTTGGAAAATCTTTTATAAATATGAATTACATGATGTATTGTTGGCCTTCTTACAAAAAGGATTTTTCCTCTTAAACAATCATGGAAACGTCTAACAAGGGTGTTCTAATTCGTAATTACACTTAAGAGTGGAGGCGGCGCCTTCTTCTCAGCAGAGACTTTTCTAGATTCATGTTTCTGCAATATGATATCTGTCCTTGGTTTTTATCAAAACGTTTTTCCTACTTTTGTAGAACATGCGCTAATGTTGCAAAGCTCTGGATTATTTCTCCAGATTGTGCATTATCATGTGCACAATGCAATGTGCTTGTAGCCGATGCAGTTGCACATTGTATCTTGGACTGCTCTGGCGAAGAAGTGTTAGCTTTACGCGATAACATCCAATCCAAAATTGTCAACGACTGCACTGTTCATGCTTACGTTGCTCTGGACTAGGCGAGTCGGGATATTCAAATAGCAACGTTTCTTGGCTCTCCTCCTGCTCTTTTCCGAGATCTTTTTGGAGAAGACGACGATCTTTTCTTGTCGTTTGTACGAGACTGTTGCATTTTTGCAGAGAAAGCTTCTGCTCTTACCTTTCAATAATACATGAGTTCCTGTAAATAACTTTTGTGTAATATACTGGTTGAAGGCTATGCAATCGTTAAATTTATAAGTTTGCATCATTCAATCAGCTTATTTTTTCAGTCATCATACTTTATTTTATAACTGTATGAATGTTCTTGTATCTATTGTTAATTTAAAATATGTATTTCATATAACTCTTCATGTTTGGAGGAATAACGATATGAATGAATAGCTGACATATTCAGTTTTAACTAAATTATACTATTATACTGTTCCTGAGGTAATATATAGCACAACCTTCAGACTTTTTCGTCAATGAAGGGAATTTATTCACGCATATAAGGGTACGAAGAGGAATATTATTGAAATTTTGACCCTTTGACCCTTTCAACCCCGACCCTCTGTGACACAGTCAGTGTTACGACGTTGTATAATTGATTACGTATATCTAGAAAATAGCTAAGTGAATCTAGGATTACATAGATATGAACTTAAAGTCTCAACTGACCAGCTATGCACGTACCAATTGATTTTGAGGGGTTTATGGACCTTATGATAAATAAGGGCTGGGGGCATCCTAGTAACATGGACCGATCCTAACACTTGAGGTCACCAGAATAAACTGCTAACCAACCAGCAACCCTTGTCACTCGTGTTTTGTTACACCTCACGCTGCAGGTGTAGTCAGTTTCTGAATGTTTATACCATCAACATGCCTTCCTAGTATAATATTTCCTACCAAGTTTTAATTATGCCCCACTACAAACGTTTTTAAAAATTTACCCATCGGTTTTCCCCTATAGAAAGCATATTACTATTTACCTCCATCCCAGAGGAAGTAGGTAACCCTGGGATAAGGAACGTTGCGTTTGATAAAGCGCCTAAGACTTTGCAATCACGAACAGTATTTTGGTTTTGGGAAATTTGAGTCTGGAGAACATTGTTTAGCCATTTTGACCCCATTCTTTATTCCTCTGGGCCAGGAACCATGCGGTTCTTTACTTTTGATACGTCTGTGGTTTCATTTTTTTTCACAGACTGATTACGGACGATGCACGACACGAGATTTTGTCTCGGGTGATGTATTAAACATTAGTTTGAAGTTACTTTGTGTCATTTTTTGTCATATCTTCATTCAACAGAAGAATTGTGTGCCCTTAGTTTTATCGTTCCTCAAATGAAAGAATTTGTGACGATGCCTGTTTTTATTTGCAGAGCTTGGAATTAAGAATGATATGAAAATGGTTCAATTGGACCCTAAGGATTCTGACAAAGGAAAATGTGAATCTTATAGAAATACAGTGCACCCTCACTGCACCATCCCCGCCCTGGTGACGGAGGATGGTAAG